CAGTTGGGGTGCATACAGGAGGCAAGCAATCCACGTTTCCCTCTCACATTGATGTTTCCCTCTCCCTCTCCCGTCCCCTCTCTCTAAAATCAATAAAAAAATATTTTAAAATGTATATGGATTTTAAAAGGGACTCCCTGAGTACTATTATGAAGGTTGTGTCTTTCAGTGTGGAATCATGTGGCAGGTTTGAAGGGTACACACCGAGTTCCACCAGAATGGAAAATGCCACATGTGAAAAGATGCCTGTGTTCCAATTCCATCAGGGAAGTGGGTCTTTTCTGAGGTTCAAGCAAAACCAAGTCAGCAGCTGGGTTGTGGTCCATGCCTGCGTTTTCACCAAAAGTCAGAGCCGCGTGGAGCCTGGTGCACGCACTGGGACACACACCAATGTCCCAGAAAGGCGTGGGCGCGGGCACGGACCCATTTAAAGGTTAGTCTGTCTCATCACGGGGTCACTGGGTGGCTCCAAAATGCCTGGGCGATGACAGAGGCCTACCTTCCTTAGTTAAAGTCATGAAAGCATGTTTCCACTACAAGCAGTCATTTCATTTTATGACTTAGTCAGTGATAAAATTAGGATATTTGTTTTACAGTTTCCATCAATCTAATAGCCAAGGGACATGAGTTACTTATTTTTGCAAAGGGGGAAAAACGCCAAATACCCGATATCACTACAGAGCTCCTTGGTTCTGAGGCTGCCAGTTGTTAATTAGGGGCCACATGCAGGGCGATGTGTCCCACCACCGCACTGCAGGGGCCTGGCGCTGGGATTCCCCAGTGACCTGGGGGCTCCAGCCTGTGTTTAGAGCAGCCCATCACTTGTTCTCAGGTGAGACATTCCTCCTGTTGGAGGGATAGAGGGTTCTGGCTTTTTTGGTCTTTTCATAGGGCGAGCTGGATGGTCATTTCTCCCTTCCCAGGCAGCGCCCAGAACCCTGGAGTGGGAGAGCTGGCAGCTTTTTTTTTTTTTTTCCAGGATGCTAATTCCATTCTTTTATTTCCTCATGCCACAAACATGTTTCGTTTTGCCACCTTGAAACTGCTTTTTTGGGATATTAATTTTAAACTGTTTAATTAAAAATATATTTTTATTGATTCCAGAGAGGAAGGGAGAGGGAGAGAGAGACAGAAATGTCAATGATGAGAGAGAATCATTGATCATTGATGGACTGCCTCCTGCATGCCCCCCATGGGGATGAAGCTTATGCTCTGATCAGGAAAGGAATGGTGACGCCTGGTTCCTAGGTCCAGGCTCAACCCCTGAGCCACACCGGCCGGGCTGCAGCTCTTGGTTTGGGTCCCCCGCAGGCAGGCCACTCTCCTGTTTGCTAGCGTGGATGTCACAGGCCCCAAGAACACCTAGGCGGCCCTGTGGTGTCTGGGAGCCGCCCCCCTCTGGGACCTGGGACCGCCCTTCTGCAGGCCCAAGCCCTGTGTTAGGGGAGGAAGTGGCTACTCCCCACAGGAGGAGGCGGACAGCTCTGGGCTGGATCCTCAGGACTGGAGGGGGGCGCTGACACCCCCAGAGCAGCAGCATCCAGGGCAGGCCCTGGGCTGCACCTGTAATGAGCAGCACACCCTTGGAGGGAGGACACTGACTGGGGGTTAAATGGATGTTAACGTGGCTCCGCCTCAGCAGCCAGACAAGAGCCAGGCCCTCGCCCACCCACTGCAGCCCAGAGGGCCTAGGCTCCCTCAAGTCCTTCCTCCTCCCCAAGTGCAGGGGTCCCAGCCCACTCCCCACTTCCCAGGGGCTGGCAAAGGCCAGAGCAGGCCTTGTGAGGGTGGGTGGGGCTGCCGGGAGCTGGGCAACAGGTCTTTTTCTTTTTGGAGACACGCCTATCAGTGTGACTGGGGAGAGGAGTTGTGGGGGGGGGGGGGGGCCGGGGGGGGGGGGCGC